CATGGCCTGCATGTTGACCTCCAGACGCAGCTTGGCGTCCTCGGTGGCCTGCAGCTCGTCCTCCAGCTCCTCGAGCTGCGTCTTCATCTCCTCCAGCTGCTGGTCCATTGCTCGTTTGGATTTCTCCAACTCGTGAACCTGAGGTACAATTACGATTTGTGGTGAAAAGAAAAAAAAAATCTAATAGGAGAAACAACATCGGTGAAAACAAAACATACGTTCTTTCCAACATCATCCTTCGATGACACCAGATCCTCCATTTCAGCCCGGAGGAGTTTGTTGCTGCGGTCCAGATCATCCTTCAGATCGAGCAGAGATTCCAGCTCACGCGTCAAAGACAAGGCACGAGTCTCTTTCTCACGGGCCTCCGCTTCAGCCCGATCTCGCTCCTCTGCGTAGCGGGCAGATATGTTCTTTTCTTCTGCCAGCATCTGGACAGAGAACAGGGTAACGAGGTCGGTAGTTTCTCAAGCACAACCATCACAATGATGTTCGCAACATTGAAAAAAACAAAAAACAAAAACATAGGCTCACCTGGTCAAACTTCTTTTGCTTTTTCTCCAAGTTGGAGACAATTTGTCGGAGGTGGTCCTGATCGACCAGCAAGTCGTCCAACTCCTGCTGGAGGCGCGTCTTGGTTTTGTCCATTTTGTCGTAGGCCAAGCATTTCTCCTCCAGGCGCTGGCACGTTGCTTCGAGGTCTCGTTGCAGCCTCTTCTTTCCTTCTTCAGCACTCTCCAAACAAGTGGAATCCTGCTCAAGCTTCTTCTTGAATTCTGAAAGCTAATAGCGTGAAGGGAGGTAAGATTGCATTTTGGCTATGTAGGACATTAAATATCCCAAAACCAGGCAACCAATCCAGTCAAATGAAGTTTGATTTGTTAACGTCCGCCATTTCTTTCTGTTGAGACGATTGGTTCACCGATGCAGGACGGGAGAAGCCATTTTGACTCTTTCTTCTTCACACCCTTTGTGTTGCTGCGTACCTGAGCTTGGGCCATTTGAAGCTGCTTTTCCACATTTTTCTTGGCTTCTTCTTCCTCCTCCAGCTGCTCTCTCAAGCTATTCTGCTCATCCTCCAGCTGACGCAGACGTGTGCCCATTGACAGTTTTTGCCGCGTCTCCTCCTGGAGCACTTCCTGTTGTAAACAGACACAATTCATGATCTCCAGTCGGACATTTGATCAAGGGTGCACATGGTTTGGAGAATCCTCGCGTATCTGATCAGTGTTGAACTCAATGAAGCATCTACAAATCTCATTTCGGAGGGCTTTTCAAATCAAAGGAGCACGTGTTACATGCTTGGGAGTATACCTGGACATCCTGGAACTGAGACTCAAGTGTAGAGTGGTCTTTGGTTGCCTTAATGGACTTTGATTCCACATCGTTCAGCAGAGCATTGACATTTTCCAGTTCTGCCTGTTGACGGTCACAAACAAGTGGGTGGACAGACTGTTTCAGGCATATTGTTCAACTTGATGGAACATGTAGGTTTATTTCGGAAGAAGTGTTCAATATACAGAAAGCACTAAAGACAAGTCTCGCTTAACATGCAACAGCGCAAACAAGGGAATGGGAAAAATAAATAAATCCGTCCAGTGTACCTGCATTTTTGCGGATTTCTCGGTGAGCTCCAACCTTTGACGCTCACTCTCCGAATATTTGAGCTGCAATTCCTGAACCTGTGCTTCAGCCTTCTTCCTGCGATGCTCGGAATCTCCTTTACCCTGCAGCAAGCTCTGCAGCTCGATGGTCAGCTCGTTCCTCTCGGATTCCAGAGCCTGCTTGGTCTTCTCCACTGATACTTTGTTCTGCAAGACAAGTCGATTGAATGCAGCGACAAATCGCTGGTAATGTGATATACTTTTGTCCCCCCCCCCCCAAAAAAAAAAAAGAGAAGTGAAATTGTTCCGATACCCGCTTTGCCTGCTCCAGCTGCTCATTTAATTCATCAAAGGCTTGACCGTGCTTCTGTCTCATGTCAACCATCTGCTGCTCATGGGCTTTGGCCTCATCTTCCAGAGCCCTTTTCAGCTGTGCCACTTCTGTCTCACGCTTGGTCCTGGGCAGGAAGAGCAAAGTTACATTTCAAAACAAACTGTTAAGTCATGTCGCACTAAGAACAATAACTTAATTTTTTCTAGCACCAGGGCCACAACAATAAACGGACAGACACAGCCAATTTACATGGAGCCCTTCAATCCAAAAAGGAAACTCAATGCCCAAACAGAATCAAAATGCTTCTTTTTTCAGAGGTGCAGGAATGCGGCTGAAGGACAGCCACCGAACGCTCAACTCGCTTGATCAGCATGACTACCTGAGTTCTTGCTGCGCAGCAGTGGAGTCCAGCGTGTCCTCCAGCTCAGTCTTGAGAGCCTCAAGTTCTTCGCCAAGGTCCCGACGGTGTTTCTCAGCTTTGGCCCGAGATTGGCGCTCCATCTCTAAATCATCCTGGAGCTCCGATATCTGAGCATCCATCTCTCTGATCTTCTTCTGAGCCATATTCTTCTGCGCTGCTTCTTCCTCAATCCTAAAATGTGAAGTGCAACAGTTTATGTTGACGGGCATCCACCATTGCGTCAGTATTCTGATACGCGCAACTCTGAACACATTCTAATTCATACTCAAATACAGTGTGAGCATTTTATGATGGTGATTTGATTCACCGCAAAAAGATAAACAGGCCGAGTGCTAAAAACTATGAGCTGTGTCATCAATAACCACCTGGCTAGTGCAGCCTGAAGCTCTTCCTCCTTTTTGGCTAACTGGGCACGGAGCTCAGCAATCTGGGCCTGCAGCTCAGCAATTTGGTCGTGTACATCGGTGAAGTCACCCTCAAGCTTGCGTCTGTTCTTTTCCAGCTCCTGCCGCTGCTTCTCCTCCCTGCGCAGTCGGTCTGAGACCAAGTCAAAACCGAGTTTGTCAAGAAGAACCATTTCCCGGAAACCAATAACTATAGCCAAGATGTGCCATCCTACCCTCGAGGTCTGTAATCATAGCCTCGTGTTTAGTCTTCAGTTTCTGGAGGCTCTTTGATTTCTCCTCCTCTTCTGCAAGGTTGGTAGTGAACTCAGAGATTCTGTCCTCCATCAGCTTCTTCTCCTGAATTCACAAGTAAGTTTTTTCCCCCCCATTAGAGTAATTAACAAACACACACACACACACACACACAAATGCGAACACACACCTTGTTAAGTTTGGCATTCTGATCATCTAGGACCATGACATCCTCTTCAAACTTCTTCATTTTGGCCTCCATGGTGACCTTCTCCAGTTGCAGCTTCTGTCTGGCTCCCTCTTCTTCATCCAGCTGTTGCTCCAAGTCCTATTTCCAAACGGATAAACATGCGTCACTTTACGCGTGACACAACAGCTCCACCGCACGCTTTCTGAATATAGGACGTCAAGTCGGGGGGGCTCACCGAAATATTTTGCTGCATCTTCTTTTTTTCAGACATCAGGTGAGAAGCACGCTCTTCCTCTTCCTCCACACGGGCTTCCAGGTCATGGAGAATCTCCTCCAGTTCCTGCTTCCTGGCTGCCAGGCGAGCTCTCATCTCTTCAGCCTCAGCACAGAGTTCCGTTTCGGCCTGAAGCTGCTCCTGCAGGGCCATCTTCTCAGCACTCAGCTACACACACACACAAAAAAAGTGAGCACAGCATTATCTTTCGTCAGTCATGCTTTTCTTCACCAATTACAAAACATGTTTCTGGATTCTTTGGTTGCACCTGCTGATGTTGGTCCTCCAAATCCTGGAGTTGTTGTTGTGTATAGATTTGTTTCTCCTTCACTTTGGTCAGTTCGTCATCCTTTGCCTGCATCTCCTCTTCCTGTCTGCTTACTTGAAGCAAGGGCTTCACCTGAGGAGGTGTTTTGTTGTTGAAGTGTATTATTTTTTTTTTTAATTCATGAAAAGCATAGCATGCAAAAACAAAATCGGTGCGAAATAATCGGACATATTACCTTAGTGAATAGCCTCCACCACTGCCAGTTTCTGAGTTTGAGATAAGCAGCACAATTTCTCTGGATCACCTTCATTGCAGTCAGCTGCTGTTGTCGCTTTGCAAAAGCCCTGCAAAAAAAAAAAAAAAAGGGGGGGGGGGGGTTATTCCGCAAAATAGACTTAATTGGCAGACATTTTGATTAAATGGTAGATGTAAGATACAGTGCCAACAGTTAAAACTCTGAGCGCGTTTTGCGCCTTTTGTCCTACCTGCGGGCCAAAACGCCTCTGCACCACGCCTGGAAAGTAATAATAATGTCTGTGATTTTCATGTCCCTCTCCTCCTCCAGGTGAGCAAGAACTCCAGCTCTGAAGAAAACTTTACTTTGGCCAATACGGTAAAGATTCGGATCGAGCTCCAAACTTTTGATCTGACAGGAAAAGAAGAACATTCATGTCTTGTCAGGGAGTGTTCACTGTGTGGAGGGAAAAATTTAAAATAAAAATTCTTACCATAAGGACACAGGCCTGCTTTCCATCCATGAAGCCTTTGGGAATGGCGTTTGGAGTGAGGATTTCATACCTGGGAGGAGAACCGGTAATATTGGGCATCTTGTGTCACACACCGGACTAGAACTGACAGTTGTGGTCTTAACATTTGGGTACCTCTGTCTGAACTCCTGGAAGACAATTCGGTTGGGGAAGCCTTGTCTGCAGATACGGATCCCCTCCAGAACACCGTTACATCTGAGCTGGTCCAGAACCAGGTGAGGATCCAGTTTTCCTGCCTGGTCAAGTGAAACGAGGGTAGTCGGCAAACTGACTATGCACGGTGGCTTGCATGTTTGTGTTTCTCAGATACCTTTTTCTCATGGTTTGGGATGATGCAGCGGACAAAGTTTGGATTTGTGTTCCTCAGAGTGGCCATGAGTTTGGACAGTTGCTCTTTGTAGAGCTGGCCCACGGTGCGGAACATGCCCTTCCGTGTCTTGAAAGCGCCTGGCATCTCTGACATGCCAGAGACCTTATCTAGTCCGACTATGCGGTCCACTAAAGAGAGGGCAAAAGTCAAAAGACATCAAGTAATGACTCAAAAGGGTTCAATTTCATAAAAAGGTGAACGTTGACCAGCGCAAATGTCAACAAATGCATGACAAAAAAACATCATCCACTTCCTCTCGGTAGACAACCACCCAGAGAAAGTAGAGGGTAGAGAACTCGCAACAATAACACCACTGATAAGATGGGATGCAGATGAAACCGAGGGGGAAGCACAATCCAGTGAGGTGTAAAAAGATTACAATCACAGAAAAAAAAAAAAACAGTGTAAAAAGATGACAATCACAGAAAAAAAAGAAAAAAAAACACAGGGGAGGGCAAAACAGTGCAGTGGGTGAATGTCAACTGTTCACACAGTAGTTTGGTGTGAAAACTACATGTGGCAGTTACGTTGATGTTTATGTGCATTGGAAAAGTGACAAACTTATTGTAGTGGACATTTATTTTTGTGATGACCCAACAAAGGAGAGAAACACCAAACCCATGCAGCATGTACCCATTTCTGCAGTAACCATGACCACCACCAGGAGTCCCATACAACACTATTAACATGGGAGAGGGAAAGGGAAAGTTCAATCATGGAGTGGAAAGTTGAAAAGCAGTAAAGCACAGAAAAAGCTTGAACATTTCATTGATGTTACTTCAACATAGGCTTTCGGGTAGAGCAGGTTTTGAGCACCGAGGGGAAGAAAATGGAGCAAACAAAGCACTTAATAATTATGTGCCAGACAGAAGGATTGGTATGAAAAGACATGGGGCAGGGGGGAAAAAAAAAAGAAGCCTTGTCACCTGAGTCTGAGTGCAGTATAGGAAAGCGCTGATAAAAATAGGCTCTCTGGGAATTCTTTACCTCTGAGAGCCAGCAAGGTCATTTGGGTAAAATGTAACATACAAAACGGAGCCAAACAAGGGGTTTTGAAGGAACAGATTTGAAGAAAAGAGGGGGGGAAAAAAACAAAGGTACGTACACCAGACAATAAAGAGAAAGAAAGCAATGTGAAATGAAAACAGGGACAACGAGCCAGAATTAAACATTGCCGACAGCCAGCGCTTTGGCTCCGTTAAAGCAGAGAAACATGAGCTGATGGATGGGGGGGTTTTTTTTGGACAAATATTAGGCAAACTTTCCCTTGTTTAGCATTACTTGTATTAGTCACTGCTATTGTGATCAATAAATAAATACCTATTGGTTGCTTCACTTCACTTTGTTATTGATAGATACAGCAGGTAAAAATCTAGATGGCACAACAGTTTGTCTGGTCATTTTCTGTGGGCTATTTAAAATGATGAAATGTCTAGCCGTTGTCTTAGGAGGCCCGATATCTGGAAGATGACCGGCCAACTTGTGTCAAAGTATCACGTGTCTGTTGGGTGGGGAAAAAAAATTGATTTCTTGACTTACCGTCCTTCCAGAGTTCAGAGACAAATTTGTCAGTTGACTGGTTGAGCAGTGAGGCAACATTGTCATTCAAAGGGTCCATGTTCTTCATCAGCCACTCATCCGCTTTATAGTCAACCTGATATGTAAAAGGAGACATTTGTAACTACTGAGAAAAAAAAACAAAACAAGCGAGTACGAAGAGACACTGACAGCAAGCACTGACGACTAAAGAAGGAAAAAAAAACTCGACCTCTCTGCCTGCTCACCTTGCCAGCGTAATGGATAATACAGAAATCGGCTTCATCCTTCAGTTTCTTTGGCTTAAAGAACTTGGGGTGGGTGCCCTGCTCCTGAAGCACCTTCTCAACAAAGCTCTTGTCTGTAGCTTTGGGAAACCAGCACTCCTCGTCCAGCAGGGCGAGAATACCAGGAGGGCTGGCCTGCACACGATGGGGGGCAGGGGAAGTGTGATGCTTCATATATCAACTAAAAAAATGCTGTCCACAAAATCCCCCTTCCGACCCACTCACGGGTTTCTCAATGAGTTCGATGCAAGGCTGCAAGTCGAGGCCGAAGTCGATGAAGCTCCACTCGATGCCCTCCCTCTGGTACTCTTCCTGCTCCAGGATGAACATGGTGTGGTTGAAGAGCTGCTGCAGCTTCTCGTTGGTGTAGTTGATACACAATTGCTCGAATGAGTTCAGCTGGAAGAAGGGAAAAAAAAAATGATAAAAATGCTCAAATTGTTGCCACCATTTTGACCAGTATGCTTCGTCTTACCTCAAAGATCTCAAAGCCAGCAATATCCAAGATGCCAATAAAGGAGGCTCCTTGTCTCTTGGTTTTGTCCAGGGCTTTGTTGATCCTCATAACCAACCAGCGGAACATCCTCTCGTAGGTGGCTTTAGCCAAGGCCTCCACCGCAAATTCTGCTTGCTCCTGGGTCTGGGCCTTTTGGACATAGTCACGACCCACTTTGATCCTTGGTGATAAGATGGCCCTGGTGAAGTCCGTGACATTCATCCCCATGAGGTGGCAGACCTTCTGAGCGGCTGGAAAAAAAATGGGGCAGGCGAAGTGAGGATTCAAAAGAAGAGCAGAAAACAAAAAAAAAAAACCCCAACAATTAAAGATCCAGTAAAATGATAATCCACCTTCAAACAATTTTAGGCCTCTAAAAATGGCTAATCTATGATCAAAGAGTGACTAAATAGCGTATAAAAATGTAGAATCTACCTGTGTTGTCAGGCATGGAGGCCTGGTCAGTGTGACGCTCCTTCTTGAAGGTCATGTTTCCCAACTGCAGCACAGAAGCCACGACCTTCAGCATACCTACATAGCCACGCACAAAACAGACCGTAAACAACCCAATAAGCCGAGACCGGTGATCTGAAAGGGTTTTGCCACGGGCCTTACCGATCTGTTCCTCCTCCGGGATACTCATAATTCTCATAGCATCCATAGTCTCTGCAAAAAGGTCTTTGTCCTGTTGTCCCGGAATGGTCACATTTCCATTGGAAAGGAAACGGTAGTTGTTGTAATTTTCAAGTAGGAGCTCACCTAAAGAAGGGGATCAGGGAGATCATGAGGAAAGGAGACGACGAAACTTGCAGTTTGGCAAATTGCGCGTCTTGTAGTGATCGAGGGTGTTTGGGGTGGGGGGGGCATACCACGTAATTTGTCTCCAGCTCCAGTGAGCAGGTAGTAAAAGATGTGGAATGTTCGCTCATCCCTGGCTTGACGGATGGCACGTGACTTCTCCAGCAAATCTAACAATCGGACCGTTAAGGACAATATTTCGGGTGCTGACACAAACCAAACTGAATATTTTATATTTATGCGCTGCGCGAGGCCACGACACATATTACCTCACGCACATTTGGGTGAACGACAGGGAAAATAAGGATACATGTTTCAATATTTGCACCAACAATGTAGCCGTTGACATCAAAGTTGATCCTGATGAATTTTCCCTACCAATAAAACAAGACAATTTACGAAAAATCCGTCACATTTTAAAACGAATAAAACCCAATTTCTAGGGGCTTACAAATCTGGAGGAGTTGTCATTTTTTACAGTCTTGGCATTTCCAAATGCCTCCAGGATCGGGTTTGCCTGCAGAAGCTGCTTCTCCAGCTCGCCCTAGTGAGAAATAAAAGAGCAAGGACAGTAGATTACATTATAAAAAATGTACAAAAATTAAATAAGAAAATTTTACTTCGTTATGAACAACCTGTACAGGGTCACTATGTTTGCATTATTAAAACTGGAAATTCGAGGGTATCATAAGAGACCATCGCTTAAGCTACATTTAAGTGGTATTGCATTATACAGCTCCAAATGAAAGCATACATCATGTACATACTGTATTTATACATATTCTCTTTTGATACTTGTTTTATGAGGAACTTTGTCTGCACTAAAAACATGTGAGAAAAGTTAATCGGGACACCATACACACGTATAGAAACAAAGCCACACCCTGAGAACCTCATCCAGCCATCACCAGAGTGGAAAGATCCAGAAATAAAAACATTGAGATATTCCACCCCCCCCCCCCCCCCCCGCCACGAAAATAAATAAATCACGAACATTACTTATACTCTGTTAAATATTAAAATGCCCCTCCAAAAAAATGAAACTGAATTCAAACAGTGACCCTAAGATTTCAACTAAAGTAATGACTGTTTGCTCATTTCAATCTGTACAGGCTCTCCTATTGTATTACGTAAATTTAACAGAGGTTTTTTTTTTTTTTTATCTGCGGGTTATGTTACAGACAAAAGCATTTTACACCACATGACAGACACTGCTTAGTAAATAAATGTATCGGCTGGACAAAGAGAGAGCGAAACAGTCAGACAAGAGCACGCGCCGAGGAGCCACAGAAATCCTGGAAAATTCAGCCAGACAAAAATTCAGCTCTCAGCTCCCCACATGAAGGCCAGAAATCAGAGTTATTTCCTTCATCAGGCTCCCTCCTCCCCACCTATCCTACAATTGTCTGGCTGAATTTTTTTTTTTTTTCTTCACAGGAACACGTACAGCTTCTATTAATCTGACAACAAACTTCCTTCGGACTTCCGTTCAGCTTCATAAGTAAGCTCTCCCCTTCCCCCAATCCGTAACAACAATTCACACAGCAAAGTGCTCCAGTAAGGGGGGAGCCGCAGGATGGGGAAGAGGACGTGGAGGAGGGACGGCGATGACGGAAGCAGGTGGGGAGGAAGAACGAATAAAAGGGAGAGAGAGAGAGAGTTAACTCACATGTGACAGGCTCGAGCTGCTCTGTTGACGGGAAGAGAGAAATATGACAACCTCAAAAAAACGGAATGATGGACACTATTCTGGTTTTGCCTAAACCACCCCGGCCGGGTCACATTCTGCGGCGTGCATCGAGCCTGGAGGGCTACGAAGGCTTTCCAATGCAGCCAGATGTCTTTCTTGACTGCGACAGTTTGTATTTCTCATGTGAGACGCAGCAAAGTCACAAAAACTAAAACACATCGGCAATCTGAAATACGGTAAAACATCTGGTCTGTATCGAGTGTCGAAGCGCCAAAAGCGTTTATTCCAGTCTCTAGATTGACACAATTGTTTGTCAAACACGCTTTTCCTCTTGGAAATGATGGAGCAACACATGTTACATAACCCGTGAAGACAAACACACACCATGCCGACGTTGAGCAATATTTTAGAAGAGGTTCGAGAATGACTTACTTGATCTTTCTTGGTCTTGTGAGAGGAGGCCACATGAGCCAGATACTGGATGACCTTCTTGGTGTTCTCAGTCTTACCGGCACCAGACTCTCCTCTAAGAGCCAAAGAGGAAAAAAAAAAAAAAAAAGAATCAAAACAGTCAAATTGAAATACACAGCAAAAATAAAGAGTGAAGAAATGCAGAAAAAAAGGCATTTGGGTGTGAATGATTTGTAACTCACGTGCAGAGAATGGACTGGTCTTCACGATCTGCAAAAAAAAAAAAAAAAAAAATTGAAAAACCTTCATTCGGCAGTATCATAAGTTATCGCCTGCGCAGGTGGTTTGTAGAACGGGAACACCCGGGCCACAAAACAGGAAATCAACATCCCCTTCTTGCAAGTAGAAAGAGCTGCTGCTGTGCTCGACAAAGCTAAGTACAGAAAATATACACTCGCTGCTTTCTGCTACTGACGGCAGCGGCGCACCCATTTCTCGTCGTCTCAAGAGTCAAGAATCGAGCTGTAGCTTAACACCGAGTCATTATATCAGAAGCTTCCGGTTCATAGTTCTTTGGGGAACTACTACAAAATGTAATCGTTTAAAAAAAAATAATAATAAAACTTCAGTGTGGCTTTGTTTTCGCTTCGACATGCAAGACCGGAAAGAGCGATCCTTTTTCTTTGTGATGGTTACTTACCCTGCATCATGCTTCTGTAAGATATGTCAGTAATGGCATAGATATGGGGGGGCATTTCATGTTTCTTCTTTCCCTTGTACATATCAACGATCTCCTCGGAGTAGATGGGCAGGTTTTTGTAGGGATTAATGACGACACAGAAGAGCCCAGAGTATGTCTGCAGAATGCAAAGGGGACGGTTAAAAACAGCTTTGGGGGAAAAAAAATAAAAAAAAAAAATCTTTATTTTGCAATCCATCAGCATGGAGTGAAGTATTGATTCTTATCACACATTTATTTTCAAGGTTCGGGACAAGTTGGCTCATTTGCTGAAACATCTCGTGTGCCTTCAGCACAGAGCGGAGGCTTTCCCATGAACTCCGCTTCGGTCCTCTCCAATATTACGTAATGTCAACCCCACCCAGCGACAAGTTCAAAATCAAGGGCAAGTATTGAATTGTATTGCAGTGGCAACTAGCAACCGCTACGTGACAGCTTACAAAAAGTCAAATCTAACACTTTAAAACTACAAAAGCTACAAATGCAACTTCGATTTTCTTCCGCATCCAAGTTTCTCTTTCTAGGTGGACCAGGACTGATTTCTCTCTCTTTTTTTTTTTTTGGTTTCCTGATTCCTGTGCTGCCATTCCAAGTTCTCTTTATCAGGCATCCTTCCCTTCGGGACGCACAAGCTCTCCCGTGAGAGCCCGAAGGCACTCCAACTAACTGGAGGCGCAACCTCAAGAGGGAGCAAGGGAGGGAACGGCGGCCAATGACCCGGCCAGACAAACCAAATCATTCACAGCCCAGGACACGGGGATAAACACAAATAATAAACATCAATTACGATGTCATTTGCATTCCATGCCCGCATATCAAACCCTGTTTCCTGTTTTCAGACTCGAGAGACACGACAAGGGCCGGGGGGGGAGACAACATAGGACAGGAACTGTAAAGAGATCAAAATACACTAGTTTAAGATGGAGTTTCTTCCTGTCAATGGGCAGCTACAGTATATCTACTTCTCCCCCTCCCCGCCCAGGAAGACAGAACAGCCATGCGAATCCAAAATGTGTTGTGTGGGGTTTAAAACGCAATGCCTTCATTAGACTTTGTGCTGGAGCAGAAGCGCCTTACCCAAACTGTACCGCAAGAGTTCTAAGCATAGAATTGTCCCAAAATACATGTAATTAAGGAGTGCGTAACGTGATGGATTCATTCAAACTTTTTGGCGCGTCAAACTCACGTATATGAGTCCAGAATAGTATCTCTCCTTCAGGTTGTGCAGCACAGAGGCTTCGTTCAGGCAGGTGAGCTCCGCCATGTCTTCCACCTTGCTAAACTTGGGCGGGTTCATCTTCTGGATGTCATCCTTGTTCACCCTGATCTTCTTACCGGAGTCCGCCAGCTCGATCACGCACTCGTCACCTCGCTCCTCCTTCAGGGAGCCGGCCTCGAAGCCCAGGCGCTCCGAGGGAACCCATACGAGCTTCTTGGAGGCCCAGTCGGCCTGCGCCAGCGGGTTGTTGATCAGATTCCGGTCGGCATACAGGTACTTGCTTGGGTCTGCCATGGTAGCTGTTTCATCAAGAGACAGGGAGAAAGTGGGATTGATGATCATTGATATCGTCACACAACATAAGATGAATAAGACCAACGCCAAAATTTAAGTCGATGTGAATGTGAATCTTTGCTTGTCTTTTTCTTTCACATGCAATTTTTAAATGTTAAAAAAAAAAAAGTCACAAGTGAAGGGAATGCACAACAGGAAATGCCTGCTGGAGACAGGTCGGGTCAACATGAAACCATTTCTCACTCATGTTTCAACGGCCGACTGGTTCAAGGTAAAAACAATCGACGGAAATCATTGAGGTGCCCTCATTACATTGTTTGAGAAATAAGCTTTGAATGACTCGAAGCGTAACGATCATTGTCAACCCATGACATAGAAAGTTGCACGAAAGCAAAGAGACGCTTCAGAATGCCGTCCGCAAGTCACAGTATGCGCAGTCTTGTTATCAATGGCAAGCGAAATGCACATCCTAACCCGTATTTCATACAGCCTGAAGTTCATAAATAGCAGCCTGTTGACAGGGAGTGCTGCGGTTCAAAAGTGACTCGACGAGTATTACCAGTACAGAGAGAAAAGAAGGCTGTGTGCTTAAAGCAAGCAAAAAAAAAAAAAAAAATCAGAGAAAAGAAGGAAGGCTGTGTGCTTAAAGCAAGCAACAAAAAAAAAAAAAGTCAACTAGTGCGAACAGTCTTTCGACAATCGCTTTCCCAAAACAATGCCCCAGACTTTACTTTTTCGGCTCGGCACGCCGTTTTCCGAGTCGTCGCCGCTCTCTGCGCTCTCTGACCCGCATGGCCAGAAGAGCTGCCTTGCAGCCAACTTTTGCATGATTCTGCTCAAATGCAAAACATGGAATACAACACCGGAGGTCCCCGTGCAACAAACGATGGCGATAATTCCGTCAAACAATACTTTGCGCCAGACGTTGGGGCCAAGACTAACTTCACATTGCAAAATGCCTCAACGGGAAACATACCGCTGCCAAATTCTCATGTTCGACATCAGCAATGTAGAGATTGAAGTCAAACATTCAAAAAAAAAAAAAAAAAAATTGGGGAGAACATTTCTCGTGTCGCGCGTCATTTCATGACAGACCGAATTTTGCATCAGACAGATCAACTTCATAACACTCCAAAATATTTGATCATCAAGTCTGTTGCCATCGAGCCACCCTCATGAAGAGGTTAATGTCGCTGTAACCGTGAATGATCATCTTCAGCAACACGCCAATCAAGAGTAAACAGTCATCGCCACTCAGAAAAGGTGACAGCCCCCCCTGACGTGGTTTCAAAATGGGTCGTTTCCATTGAACGGCCTTGCACCCGTTCCGCCACATTAACCCGGCTCCGTGAGAAAGAAAGCAGCGAGAGCATCATTCTTCTCATGACCCCGACGCCCCCCCTATCCTCCCATCAACTTCCCCAGGCCGCGGCTGAAATCCATCATTGCTCAAACTGCCTCAGAGTCCAACTCTCGTTGGACGCTCGCATCCTGTGAAACTACAGAGGCAAAACCGGCGAGGCCGTCGTTCTCGGTTGCTTCTGCACCCCTTTTTCCTCGGCGTTAGGACACACGCCTGTCTCTCCGTAAGACTAAACAGCCCCCCTAGTCCACGGCACCAAGCACCCTCTGCTGTTTATCCAGTCTTTTCAGGGTCACATTCCTGCCATACTCACCCTCTCAACCAGGGAGAGAAATTCCGCAAATGTCTGCACTTTTTTTCCGCTATGCCGCCTCGTCTCAGACTCTTCGTATTTCGACACGCGCGCGCATCAGGCCGTGGCTTCAACTGTCTCATTATTACCTCACAGCCTAGCGAAGGCACACCCATGGTGAGACCGCGTGGGTCACGCAGACGTGAACATCCTTCCTCCTGTTGATCTACTTTGACTCTTAAAAACGTACTCAGCACTCTGTGATGCAATTGGAACGAGGCAGGTTTTGTATATTTCTTTTTTTAGTGAATCTGCTTCGCCGTTTGGTAAAGATGAACTATAAAAAGGAGTTTATCCAAAGTCTGCCTTTGTTGGAGCGTTTCAAATACACTAAACAAAGTTGCAGCAAATATGTGGCTATGAAAAAACATTGATTCAACCTCTGCTGCATTGAAGGTTCTAAAAATTGCGCAAAAGAAAGAGACAAGACCATCCCAATAAAACGTAAACGAAAATGGTGGTTCCTTTTGACTCATTTCCAGTGTAAAAAAAATAAATAAAATAATCTCCATGCATGTCTCCGAGAGTCATTCTGTTGATTTTCGACCGCACATGCTTGACACAGAAAATTCCGTGACACATTTCAAACGACGTCTCAAGAGAGCGCCTTAAGACCAAAATAGCTGACAGCTAATTTGACCAGGGCTGCTCTACATTGAAAAAAGGAGCGATAAAGCGCCCCTAATCAGACAAGTGCACCCGAGATTGGACCTTGCCTCCAAGTGACATTGAGGGAGAACAGCAGCCAAAACTGTCCTGAAAGCCACCCAAACATAATTGTCGGCTAAAGAAGACAGCTGCCTTCCTGCTGTTACGCCCTACAGGATGCAGCAAGAAACTTTTTTTTTTTTTTTTTTTAATCTTTTACGAATTCCTTGTCAGCTTGCACCGTCAGGCCCACTCGCATTTCGCGAGATGAGAATTGGCTCATACGGTTACTTATTAACTGAATACATGCCATTTGGTGGGGACTCACTGAGCCAGAGGCCAACCACTGGTTCAAAAAAAGAAAGTAGAGAAGGTCTCCAACCTGATTTACTTGATTAAACATTAGCAGGCTAATGTTACTATGGTCAAATGAATGGCAAACGACAAAAGAAGAACCAGAAGTAGCAGGAGGAAGTGAACTTTAGAAACCAAATTCAGATATGAGGCAGTATTTTCAAGAGCCATTAAAACAAAGCAGGAAGTGGAGAAAATAAGAGCGGCAAATTCAAAGAAAATTGCTCCCGAAAAAGAAACGGGTCCCAAATGGCTCACCGAGAAAGCGGGTCAACGCGGGTCTGTCAACGGAAGCCATAGATCCCCATCAGACTCATTCCTTTCCGCCTCGGTGATTTCCTGAGTTACTGTAATAACCAGGGGGGGGCTTCGACCACAGAATGACCATGTACAGTCATACTTGCGAAAACTCCCATCCTGCTCCTACCGAAGGCTGCACGGTTGTGTCGGATTGACACGCAGATCGACGGCACGACAAAAGCGCCGGCGCCAATGTGCTCCCAGCAGCCGACGTCAAATCCAAGACTCCGACCATCCAGTCTTATACGATGGATCGTTTCGACTCTGCGGTCTTATTTGTGAGTCTCGTTTATACGTTAGAGCTCTACACATTTCCAGTTGGCACCCTGAAAATGAGAAGGTGAGGGCCAAGGGAAAAAAAAAATGGGGGCGAAATGGAAACGAAGCGATTTGGCCATATGTGGAAATTCATTGTATGGAGATTTTGCGGGGTAGGTGGCATTTTCATGGGCACACACACCGAACCACGAAGAGAAGTAACCGAAGACCTTGCTGGAAAACGACTGCTGCATAACATCTCTCCCCCCATAACTTTCCACATTCCCCTGAAACCAAGCCCACTTGAACGGTAAGCTGGCAAATGCCATCATCATCATCATCAAGTCGAGTTTCCACCAAACGGCGCTTGACGATGCAATTTCTCTTCCTTCCATTTCACAGGGTGTAGAAAATAATCACTCGCCGCTACCGCACCACTTTTTGGCGCACGTCGTCGGTGCCGCCACGCCCTGTACTTCACTGAGAGGTCAACAGACAATTGTGTGACGAACAATAATGCGAAGACAAGTATAGACGTTACACAAGCGGGATTTTGAGGGGCTTTCCACCTATCCCACACCAAGATGGATCAAAATGTTCAATACTTTAGTCACTGGAGGCAGAGCGTTGTCAGTATCGTTCGACTTTGTAGAAAGCGTAGGTATCAAATAGACTCACAAAAAGGTGCACAGCGACTATCTCCGCGCAGCACAACAAACTTGCGCAAGACTTCACAGGAAGCGCCAAAACCTGCGAGCAGTGGCGAAAAAAATGTTCAGGGTTTTAGGCTGTCGATTCCAATCACCAATGAATGAGATTGGCCGATATCGATACCACACAAAAGAATACAAAGGGTGCTTTGGAAGCACTTTTTTTTTGAGAGAGGAATCTTCATCTGGTCTGGAGTTTATAACCAGACCGCTTTATCCGCCTCCACCCTTTTGATTTATTGTTGTTTTGGACTTTGGCCTTATCAGCGGCAGCCTTTATCTGGGCTACTCCCTACGAGTATGCGAAGAAGGCTAACAGATGAACCTCGTATGAGCATTTGAACCATAGCAGCCTTTATCTGGGCTACTCCCTACGAGTATGCTAACAGATGAACCTCGTATGAGCATTTGAACCATCGTCTCATTTCACCAAGCGTTCAGACTTCATTCGGCTGACATGTCACCTCCTATCGAGTCAGAAACAAGTCTTGCGATCGAGCGTGAGCTCAAAATTTCAGCGTCGGGTGGTGGAAACGTTGAAATAGGTCTCGTATCTGATACGACATTACCTCATCTTTATTCCACAAAGTGAAGCGTGTGGCCAGAGTCCGTCTTTGCCGCTCATGCTGATGCCCACCAGCATGGATTTAGTCAAGGCAAACATTTCCTGGTATTGTTCGTCTCTTTTTGAACCATTCAGGTGTGCTTTATGTGGGGGAGGATAAAGGAAAAGAACGGGCTTGCCTGGAGGCAAAAAAACAAACATATAGAGGAAGAAAGCAAAGAGTGAAGGAAACAGAAGAGGAGAAAGGACCAAGACAAGGAAACGCAAATTCGAAATTGCCCAACCGATGATCCGTAGGGAGGTATTTGCTGACACGATCTGTTTCTCTGTTCTATAAAATATAATCACAAGAACTTTTAGATTTTGTCCAACAAGAGTTTCAGATGTCCATAGCAAATGCATCTCAAAAGATGATCTACTCAAATCGGCCACCTCGAGTCAACTGGGAGACAATGTGGAGACTGCCACAGTGTCTCCGCTAATGTCACACTGACTTGCTACAAACAAGGAACTCTAGCCAAGATTCAATCAGTCATGATGACAGTGTAAAAACTTCTTTGGGTATAAGTCTGCATTTAAATGTTGCCCCACCCATTATAATAAAATCCTCCTCGGTGGTCTTCATTACAGATAACGGCCAACACCCAAATGAGGGATTGCAAAATTCTCAGCAGGGGTCTTGCTTTAATTAAAAGTGCTTGCTTGCAGAAAATCCACTGTGCAAAATAGTAGCAGAGTGTATTTTGTGACTAGCAGCAAACACCCAGATACAAAATTACTAAAGGCAAAGAGCAAAGTATTCTAAAATGTGACATGGCAGGGTATCGTCAGACATTGTCAGGGTGTTCAACATACACATGGGTAAAAATCCAGCCACTGCAATGGCTTTTCCCCATAGACCATCACTCGCCAAATCCCACGCATCAAAACGTCGAAGGCGGTGACCTCACGCTGGTTTACAAAAATGCAGGCAAAGATCAGATGAAATTATGACTGTCTGATTACAGATCGACAGAGGTTTCCTATCGTAAATGCCATGAAAATCACCTACTGCTTAACTTACTGACAGGCTTCCGTCACAGGCAACTGGGATAATCACAAGACAAACTGGTTTGGACTGGAGATCATTTGCATGACCATTTTAGAAGTCACTACCAACACACCCAAACGTGCGTTCACCTACTTTTTGACTTGCACTCCTCCAAAGTGTTGAACTTGCCAAGAGCTCATTCGGGTGCGTAAACATGGGGTCTGGCAAAGTCCAATAAAGTGAGGGACACACATACAGACAATTGGGTCTAATTTGGGGATTTTCTTTTTTACATGCTAACAATAAAAATTGGGAGAGGCCCCATCTTCGGCTCTGATTGATAAGAGTGGGTTTTTTTTCTTCAGAAAATGGTCAAGGCCAACAATCATAAATGTTAAACCTGGTCTAGTGATCTTACATGTGGATGGTGAACACCGAGGTTGACAGAGTCACAGACTCTGCAATCATAACATGAAGCGGAACCGTAGCCAATTTGGAAGTTACCCAAAACTTGCGCTTTGCTCACAATTTGGTGCCATCGTGTTAACTCAAACGTTATGTATGAAGATACTAATGGTCTCGGTGCTCGTATCAGTAAGTACTCAAAACTACAAAAGTACTGCTATTAGCCTGGGTGGGGCGATGATCTAGAATGTCCCAAGACCAGAACAATGACTCAATTATAATCTGTTTGTGCATTTTCAGCACTGTCAATTTGAAATTTACTATTTTTAATAAATGGATGGAAATGTAAAAAATAAAATAAAATACAACTGAAAAAAAAATCGAATTGATTACGAACACTGTTAGTTGCAGCCCTTGATTAAATTACACTCTATATGAGCAGTACATTAACTATACATTTTGTTGTGGCCTCTCATTAAATTTGTTCTTAAAAATGAGAAAAATAGGTCAGTATATTAAAAAATGATTACGTGCATTTCACCAAAACATCCGTATACTTATTGTCGGATTTGACTTTTGACTAACAATAAATGTTCTTGGAGTCGAAAATGTTACTTAACCTTCCACTTGGAGGCGGAAAAAGTGCATCTCAAAACACAAATTGGGCAAGCGCCAGCGTTTTCGACCCAATAAAAATGACACGGGTGTAAGCAATGACAATAATTAGGGCTTGATTGCATTTTAATAAAGAAACAACAATATAATAATAGTCCACGAGGGGATGGACATTGGCGCTGCGCTGCATTGAATTATGATCCAGAAAACGTTATGCGTGCTGTTTGGCATTTGCAACAAGAGGGGCATCTGCATGAGCATAATCAGTCATCTTAACCTCGAGCCAAATAAACCAAAGTCTAATGTATTCGCGCTGAATACATTAGGCAAAAGTTGTAAAAAAGAGCAAACAAATAAAAGCGCACGGTCCCACTTTCAGGTGACACGCTGGGGTGAAGTAGAGCTGGTCGTCCGGTGGATCCTGTGACGTCACAGCCACCAGACAGACACGTTACTGACCACACGCTTCACCGAAGTCAAACCGCTAAATAATAGAGCACTTAATAATATACCCGACGGAGGGGACGTGCCCTTAGTCTAAATACGCCGTCCGTTTTATTTCCATTCCAGTCGGGCTGAAACTCTTGGCCGGCCAGCCAGCCGGCCGGCCTCATTCAAGCGAATCACTTCCTGCCTCTGCCCTTGTGGCTTTAGCTCGCGCCAGCTGCCACAACGCGGATGCAAAAAAATGGCTTCTTACACTTCGTATATAACGATGCATGCATGTGAATATTTGAATTATTAAATTACATTTTGCATCCATGAGTTTGTGGGTTTACTTCAGTCGTTCTTAAGCAAAATCTGTTCCATCAAGTGCCACTTCTTAAGCCAGCGGCGTAATGAACTAGCATGCCAAGCTTCCTGGTTCGTATGCTCGAGTGAATGAATAATGGTGGAGCACCGTAGCGAGAACATGAAGTGAAAAGTGATGAGGTTGTAAATTATTACCTGTTTAAAAAGGTGCGGGACGCCTTCCTAATGGTAGCTCAGTCGGCGTCGACGAGATTCAAACTTTCTTTTATCCAGTCGACTGCTGCAGCTTCGCCGGGAGTTGAAGCTACACTACAAGCGGTCCTTTCCTCCCTCTTCCTCTGCTTTTCACAATCTTTTTTTTCTTTCTTTCTTCAAACGCCTCTTCCTTCTGCCCTCCCTCTTCCACTTCCAGCTTACTGGCTCGCGCAACTTTAGTTGAGTACGTTGCCCACTGGGGTGCGGTCCAAGGCGAGGCGGGCACCGGCCATGTTGAATCCTCCCCTTTGGTTAACGGCTGTCGTTCATTGGCTCGCGTTACACTGTGGACCAATCACGTCCTCTCAAAATTCCGGTTGACAGCAGCTGGGCGGGGCAACCAACCAAGCAAAAAAAGCTGAACTTGAAAAAGCTGAGAGGAGGAAGGGGTCGCGATAAGGCGTGTTTAATGAGAAAGGTATGTGCATAGTAAGAATTGGTATGACCATATAAGTACCATTCACTCTCAAGAGGGGTCTGCATCATCCAAATTCTTCCCCCCTCCCCCATATGTGTCAACAGGGTCTGGTCTGACTGACCTCAATCTTCAGTCAAAACAAGTACTGTACCTGTCATGAGTTCCTTCTGCTGTGGAAACCCCATGAGTGTTACGTACAACATCTATTCCACCTGCTTTGGACCACCTGTCATGTAAACAGGTTTGTGTCAGTCAAACAGGTGAGCCGACATGCATGCCCAGTCAGGTATACTCAACATGGGAACTGCTGCAGGCAATCAACCCGTTGATGTTAGGGAAATTACAGTCAGACATCATAGGACTGTCTGACTTGATTGTGGTTTCTTTGTTCTCTTTCAAAACACCTGATAATTCAATGACTTGCATGCTTGCGCAGGTGGATCCATGTTAAAAGCAATCACGTTTGACAAATAACTGGAGAAAAAAAAAGCAATTGAATGTAATGGAAGAAAGTATTAAGAAATCAAGACAGTGCTGAAAACAAATGTACAAAGATGAAAGGCACAATGTTTGTACAGTTTACGTTGACTGGAACAGTTCAGTGTAAACTTGTTTACTTCAGATATTCTCCCTGGGCCAAGACTGGGCCGAGTAGAACTGCTGGCCCAATGCCAGTACAAATGCCACAACCAGCAGGGAGACATTAACGGTGGAAAAAAAAGTGTGCTTGCACATTGTGAAACAAGGATTAATGAATCAACACTTCTGATCAGTTGGGGATAATTAAAGCTACAGTTAAGGACATGTGAGAACTTGGATGAAAGCGGAATAACTGTGCAAAGGGAACTGCTTTTGAATAAACAATTTTTTTTCTGTCCCATTTTAGAGTTCAATCCAAATGCGAACCAGATGAAGATGTTGCAACGTCCTGGGACGAACGACAAGTTGTGACCCGCGTCGGTCAGAAAGTGCCATTTCTGAACACACGGCTACTCTAATGCTATATTATTCAGTGACGTTATGTTTGAGGTGGAGCCTGAGGTATGACTGGCATTTCCTGGCCTATGCTGGAAAATCAAATTTCCTGAATAATGTGTGATTTACGTTTTCTCTGAGTCATCCTGGAGTGGAACGTATCGGTGTTTTCGTGTCTGTTGAGTTACGGGGCATCCCATGTATGTTGAGTAGCAGAATACTGAACATCCAGCATGACTGGACTGCCTGGAAATATCAATAAATCGCACTCTGCTCTTTGCTGGGATGGGTGGGAAGTATTTGACATGTCAGCTGGTGGGGTCAAAGGTTAGCTTGTTATATTGCTTGAGCTGGACCAGGCAGGGGAAAGGGACAAATGAGGAGGAGTGGAAGAAAACACTTCTCAACAGAATAAGCAACTTTGACACGGAAGCTAACTTGAAAAAAATAAAACTAAAAGGACGCAGAGACCTCCTCCAAGGCCGAGTTAAAGTCTGGATAAGAGTTACAATTTACCAACATGAAAGGAACCCAAAATTAAATACAACATACATATTACTTGCACCAAACTTGATGAACATAATCGTCCTGAGCCCAGGTTCCGCCACATCCTTAAAATTGCCTCACAAATGTTTGCGCAATAGTGCTGACAGTCACAAGCGCTAATTTGTTGCACAACAGCACAATGGCCAAAAAGACAATAACAAATCCTTCTGGGCACAGCCAGTAATGCAGGATGGAGAAGAAGGCATTGGATGACCAAATATGGAGACGTGCATTTGACCTCACCGTTCTCCTTCCTCCTCCTCCTTTCCACTGTGACCCAGTCTCGCTTTTGACTGCCCTCGGTTGTACTGGCAGGAGGGTGTGTCTGTCATTCAGGGTGTGTCAAGCTATTATATCCTGCAGTCAGGGAGAAAGGGACCCATTCAGCGTAAACACTTTTGAGGGCTCGCATATGGCCACTCTCTCCATAAAATCACCGCATGTGTGTGCTGCCATTCAAGCGTCGGTGTGGCCGAGCGTCTTTTGGCTACGTCTATTCTCCAGGCATATCTTTGCCCAACTCATGCAGTGTGCAACATGTTTCTAATATTTACTTTATGCTCAGTGGTACTTGGCTTCTTCAAGGGGGGTTTCATTCGACGTATTCCACTTTTTGAAACGGCCACCATCAGGTCGCAATCATCAAAACCACCGATATTAGACAAAAATGCAAGCTCGCAGCATCTCACTGTGCCGTGTCATCTGCTGCAGTTCAGAATTGACAAAAACAGACATTTAAAAAAATATATCATATTCACCTGAGGCGAGATGGCTCATTACCCACCGCATGAATGTGTGGGCATTGCTTTTGCTTGTCAAAGTTGGCTTGGAACAATTGCTGCGATGACCGACTATCGGTGGATGGAAAAAATGCCGATGTCATCAAGGAACAGCGAGCTGGCCCTCTAAGGACCAATTTTAAATCTGACAGGTTAAGGAAACGGTCTTACTGCTAATCGTTTAGATTACCTTCGTTCTGCACGACTGATTCCGAAGGCCCGAGGCAGATTAGACTGACACGGCAGCGCAGAGGTTGATATTTGATTGGCCAAAAAAGTTGAAGATCCACATGAAGCAGTAAGCGCCATGAAATGAAGGACTGTTGGAAATAAACAAATATAATGCCATGGAACAAATATTAGAATTCATGTTTTAAAGATCTGACAGCGCTTCGGATAGTTCAACACCCTTGCAAACCACATCCGCCATAATAAGTTAAAACTTGTGTCAATCCAAAGTGAGCTGTCCATCAAAACTTTGCAGGGGCAGAGTATGCGCCACGGGTCTTCTATGGGAACTCACGGGCTTGTGCAAAGTGGCAAACAGCGTCAACGTGAGCCACGCCCGTCTTCTTTAGCACTCGTCTGACCCAGATCCTCAGGATGTGCCCTCACACCTGACCTACAATGACAGAAAATTCAACACACACGCAAGAAGGCGAGCCGCCCTTGCAAGCGCAATAAATACCATTCATTCCTCTTGCTCATCCGCCAAAACCACACGGATCCCATACAAACTGCTTACATTGGACTGCAAAAGCTGTTTGTCAGGCCTCACAAATGTTAACATGTCAAAGAAATAATTACGAGGCACCAGCGATCGCTTTTTCTTCCTTCACGATCTTCCTGTCCTTTGGTCATCTGTACACAGGAAGGAATGATAAGACGCATGTTGACTCGCAAAACTCAGTCCGGAATGTTAAGTGAAGGAAGTGTGGACAGCTTTTTCCCTTTTGTTGCAATGTCTCCTTACTTGTTTAACATCTGCGGATATGAGACAATAGCACCAATGATAAAATGAGCATTTTTGGAGGGTTTTTGTAGCATGGGAAAAAATATGGTCAAACCAGAAATAAGTGGTCGGAATTAAGTGCAGACCCAACAGTTAGAGGTCAAATGTTGTGTTTCCAATATAAATACAGCAATGAATTTACTGTAAACACTAAATAGTCAGGGGCTGAGCCAAGTTTTTGTTCCAGGGTACTTCTCTGTGCCCCCCCCCCCACAAAACACAAAACTTTGCCAACAATCACACACACATGGAAGAGGCAGTTGGCCAAGTTATTGTCGATTGTATTTCCATCAAACACGCCACAAACATCAACGGTTTCAACTCCTGAGAAAGGCAAACAAATCGGAGGAGTCGTAGAAGAATTCTACAGCTATGCCTGTCTGCAGTTTGACCAGCATCTCTCGCATGACTTTTTTTTTTGCCTTATATGGTCACAAGAGCGGGTTGAGTAACACACGCACACAGACAGGGGAGTCAGGATGGAGGTGTGGTCTAACTGTGTTTGCCGGAAGAGGAGTAAAGTTACACGCTGTTCTTCAACCTTTGGAGCCTGTCGTCATTTCTCTGTTCTTCTCTCAGGCAGACATTAAGAGGATAACACATCCCGGCCGTGTGTGTGTGTGTGTGTGTGTGTGTGTGTGTGTGTTGTGTCAAAGTTGGTGAAAAGAGAGGCCAGCCATGTTTACTGTTGGTACATCATTAACGATGATGCTGTCATTCTGTTGTAGGCATCCCAAAGCTATGGTAGGAATGTCTTTTGATACAAGCGTACATCTGGCCCCTTCATCGCTTTCTGGCCTACTTGCTGCCATCATACATACTCATGTAATGCCGGTGGAATTCCCCTGATTAAATCCTCCCGCGGGTGCTACTGAATGGCTCTTGCATGCACACGTTCTCGCGGTGATCTCATCCAAGTACAAGTGTAATGATTGGCGTTTGAGAAGCACACTGTCGACGGCTGGCCCGCGATGTGGGCAATGACGAGACAAAGAGTCAACCCAATCCAGTTTGCACGACGTTTCTTTGGGACCATGATTCACGAACAGCTCAAACGACCACAAACAATGGAAGAGCGAGACACCTCATGGGTCATGTGTGCTATTTTTTTGTTTTTCAACCCGAAGCACTCATTCAAAATCCAGGCTGTTAATGTTTTTTGGTGATGTGTAAAGCACCCGCTGGGCCTCCGTATTGCAGCATCCATTGTTGATTGCTATTTAAAAAATGCCATTCATAGCCACAATGAACCCCAGTGGGGCATATTTTGAATTTCTCGTACATTTCAAAATGCAAGGGTATGAAATTCCATTCACAAGCCCCTTCCACATTGTCTCTTCATTCAACTGTTTTGTATCAGCAGCAGAGACATGAAGTCATTCTGCCTTCTGAGGTTGTCACAGAGCCAATACGAGGCCTGCGACACTTGGCACGAACTTTCCTGGTGCTGAAAGCATTGCTGCGGACCGACAACCATTTAAGAAATCTCTCTCGATGCTGATGTAACATATCCAACTGCCTGATTCCACAAAATAATTTCGTCAGGAGTACATGGATGTTTGCCTTTGGCTCCTACTTGACTAAATAGCTCTTTCAGACAAATCGGTAAATACCGTAGCCCATAGCTTACGCACGCATCGAATTGACTACAGACGGATGCTCGTGTCAAATGAACCAAGTCAAATGCGAGACTTATTTTAATTTCTTTATTCCTGTGTCCGATCGTGTCTGAAGTACAGCGTTCATTTCAGGAATAACAGACATCAAATCTGTTGCAATTCGTGCTTGTTACAAGTTTCACAGTCAGGACCCAAAAGTGCACATCCACAAACGCACAACTTTTTCATCACATCACCGGGCATATTGGTGTAAAGCGATCAGTTGTGTGGTTTGGGCATGAGAAATGCTACCCTCACGTGGAAAGACGCAGAAACTACAGTTGACGTTGTAACATATCTCAGGTCTTAAGTTAAATCCACTTCACTACTACATCTCTCATAGTACGAAATATAAGAGCCATATGGTGGCGTATTTTCCCCTTGTAGAGAAAACTGTTACACACGATACATCTCCTCGAAAGGTCTGACTAAAGTTGAGGGAGCTGTGACAGGAAGTGCTTAAGAGACTCGCACGGCGTTGATTTCCAAAGTCAATGGAGGCCCACACCCATCACAAGAACAAGAAACAAAAGAAAGAGACGAGACGGTATGGGGCAAAAGCTAGTGAGCCTCGTGGTGGGCGTGAGCACGGACTCAGCTTGGGCTGGCGTCGAGGCTTTGCTGCTCAAGAGACTCGAAGCGGGCGGGGCAGAATCATCGAAAGCAACAATGCGACGGCGGTCAAGTGACAGGCCTGGCAAAGCGGATTTATTTCCCGATGATCTTGCTGACAAACGAGTCCAGTTCATCGTCATCTTTGATCCCCACAAAATGGTCCACGACATCGCCTCCTCTCATCGCGATAACTGTTGGAACGGCAGACACCTGTGAGGGAAAACACAATCACACTGTCATGAGTCACCAATTTTAAAAAATAGATATATATGGTGCATAGCCATTTAGGATAATAATCTATGTACCAAAAATAATAATAATAATAAATAACCATAAATAAATCTAACCAGCAAAACAATCAAATTTCAATCATGTTAGCCCAAATTAAATTATCAACAGCAATTTGAATGACTTTTAATGATCAAACAACATAATCTCTATAAAGTTTAAGATACCATTGTCAAGACAAAGTACTTAAGAGACGATGTTCTGCACACAAATTTAACTGCAGTGGATGCAGCAGACTATCAATTCAATGGCTCTGACGATATATTCGTCAGACAGTAAATTAGGCACAACCAAGTACAGGTACAGCAGTGGTGTCTTGACAATGTTCATAACTCAAAACATTAACCTCTCAAATCATCGTTTCCCAAATGAAATGAATGGAATTGCTTTTATTCCATTCCAGCCTGAACCATTTTTTAAATTCCTTCACTCTGTATCAGTTGCTGCTCCTTCTGGTGTACCCGCCTTGGCCACCTGGGGGCAGTACAAGGCAGACAGCTGTACTGTGTATTGAGGAATTATGAATCCCACTGAATTCTAGGCAGCCCTT